CATATAATTAACTAAACTAAAGTGTCATAGTTATAATATCATGAATATTTATTGTTAGAGAAATTTTATAATAGATTATGGAAAGTAATAAATGAGTTTATTTAAATTGTAAAGTATTTATATAGTTAGAGAAATATAAGGAAAGACTAAAAATGTTAGTCTAATGGGTCCAAACAACTTTTTTAAGTAGATTTATTTAAACTCCTTCTCTTTTAATAGTATAGATTCCAAAAACATTAAATAAACTTTCCACCTTAATGGATCAAAAATCAATTACTATTTTCAAGCCCAAAAATATTTAATATTTTCAAAAAAAACAAAATTATATATTATTAATCACTTATTTAAATCATGTACTTAAAAACATGTTAATATTTTTTAGCCGAAAAATATTTAATATTTTCAACAAAACAAAATTATCTATTATTAATCACTTATTTAAATCATGTACTTTAAAACATGTTAATATTTTAAATAACAATCACTCTATCTTGATAAATTTTAAGGGTAACTTTTAAATAATTTATTATTTTATTTTTCTTAAAATTTACAGATTTAAAAAAAAATGTAAAGCCAAACCAAAAACCAAATCTAAAACCTAAAATCCAAAACCAAAAGCTGAAAACGCAGGTTATATTTTTTGCTTTTTTATTTACAAAATAAACTATTTCAAAATTTTTATAAATTATTTTGTCATCTTTTCAGTTTTAAATTACATGTTCGATTAATTGAGATTTGTTTGCTGGTAATATCAGTTCAAACTAACTCAGCGGTTTAAAAATTAAAAACCCAAACAAAAAACTGAAAATCAAAAATAGAAACTTAAAAACTAAAAACCAAAAAACAAAATTTAAAACAAGATCTAAAAATAAAAATTGTAACTAAAAACTAATGAAAAACAACAATCACCACAAATTTTGGTAAACTAATTTTATACCAAAACATTTTTTAAATTAAGACAAAACCCAATTATATAAATTTTTAATCATAAAATTTTTCCGCGCTTTTCAAGCGCGGGTCAAAATCTAGTTAGTTGTTAATATAGGAGTGGTAGAGACTATGTTGATGTAGATGATGTAGCTGGAGAAGGATAAACTTGAGGGTTTATGTTTTGACGAAGTTTCTGAAGTAGTTGCTGATGCAATGTGCGTCAGAGAGTACACTAGAAGGCATGCAGAGTGGTGGAGACCATGTGGATGCAAAATGTTGAGCAGGCGTAGGATAAACTTGAGGAGCAAGTTTATGTTTTGAGGAATAAGTAAAATTCTAAGAAAAAAGAAAGAGTATTTATTAATATGAAAGTTGTCCATATTCATGTTTCCTTGGACAAAGGGTTTTGGGAACGTGGAATCACTATAAAATTGGCATGGGATCATTTGTATTCCGTAAGACACTGGGGCTATTATTATAGAGGAAGAGTGAGAATCCCTTAAGAGTGTTCTTGGGTTGTGATGAAGTAGACGCTTAGTACTAACGATGGAGAGAGAAGTTTGATATTTTTAGAGGATTTGAGTGTAAAAAGAGATTTGGTAAAGGTTTAGACTAGGACTTTAAAGAATCCGAGACTTACGTATCTAAGAGAAGTTTAGAGATCTAAAAATGCTTAAGTACTGTCTGAGTATTATAGATGATGAGTTACAAAATATACAGGGAGAGATACAAGGGTTATCGTCGACAAGAAGATAAGGGAATTGACCAAGCATGTGGATTCAACAAGAAGAGGAGCGTCTGGTTTGAAATGAGAGGCTGTGGAGATTTACACGCTTGATGCCTTTGGCATCTTAGACCAGAGGCTCCTTTCCAGACTGTGTCTCTGTAGATAAGGAAGAACCTTATCTTCCCAAGACACTGTAGACAAAGACAAACATTATCCATAAACGGCTACACCCATAGCCTCTATCTCATCAAGAGTCTTTGGTCTTATTCTTCCTTGGCCATTTCCGAACCTGTGCCTTCATCACAAAGGCACCATTGTTGTACGGACAAAGCTCAAACCCTAACTTGACCCTTCTCCAAAATACTCTCAAATGTTGATCACATCATTTTTGGTCGAGTGTTCCATGTGGTCCGTACAATCATCCGTACGGCCCATGTCATTTGCCTTCCATCAAGTCCATCTTTTCTTCCCTTCAATATCTCATAACTCATCTCAACTCAACACTCCCCTCAAGCTAGACCATGTGAAACAAGTCTAGTTTGGAATTTCATGAGGTCTTCCTCATTAAAAATCTTACCAAAGAAAACCCTCCTAAGGGATAAAATCTTGATAAGGAAAAGAGTAAAGACCCCATAGCGAGGAAATTAGCTGGGTATGGTAAGATCCATGAGTCCCAACCTGGTATGGATGGACTCCATGGTCTTTTGTCTTGCTGCCTTGGTAAAACATCAGCCAACTGATCCTCATTCCTTGTATAACATTGTAAAATTACCCCAAGCACAATCATTTGCCTCACCTTGTGGCAATCAACTTCAGTGTGTTTGGTCCTCTCATGGAACACTGAGTTGGAAGCTATATGGATGGCAGCTTGATTATCACGATGCATCACCATGGGTGTTGACTGGTCGATCTCCAAATGCTTCAATATTCCCTTGATCCACACAAGCTCATTTGTCAACTTCAGCATGGCCCTATATTCAGTTTCAGCACTAGAGCATGAAACCACCTTGTGCTTCTTGCTCTTCCAAGTTACCAAGTTGCCTCCAATGAATGTACAATAGCCGGTTGTGGATCTTCTATCAGCCCTATCACCCGCCCAATCAGTATCACAGTATCCAACCACTTCAGTACTTCCATTACACCCCATTCATACACCTAGATTAGGCGTCCCATTTAGATACATCAACAGCCTCTCCACCATATGCCAATGGTGCTCCTTTGGCACTTGCATATGCTGGCTCACCTGATTCACAACAGAACATATATCAGGACAGGTAATAGTCAATTATATTAACTTACCCACAAGCTTTCTATAGAGCTTGGCATCATGGAACGGTTTTCTATCCTCAATATTTCCCTCACGTGGAACCTTGTATCCATCTTCTAGGGGCATCTTAGCCGTTTTCCCACCTAGCATACCTGCATCTTTCAAAAGATCAAATGTATACTTTCTTTAAAATAGAAATTAACCTTCCTTAGACCTACATATCTCAATACCAAAGAAGTATTTCATCTCTTCCAAGTCTTTAATTTAAACACAGATTTAAGGAAATCCTTGGTATCTTGGATACCAACCTTGTCACTTCCTGTTATGATGATATAATCAACATAAACAAGAAGGACTACAATACCTGATGAAGTGGTAAGTGTAAATAGAGTGTGATCAAGTTCGGACTTTCTAAAGCCTCTTCCATTCACAAGATGTTCCAGACCAAGAGGTGGATACATGTAGACCTCATCTTCAACTTCACCTTGCATTCTTCACATCCATTTGCCACAAACCCCATTCAAGG